ATGTGCTTGTTGGCCATCTGAATGTCTTCTTTGGTGAAGTGTTCATACCCTGTGCCCATTTTTCAACTGGATTATTTACCTTTATCTTGTTGTGGTGCTCAAGTATTTTATAAATTCTCGATATAAGTCCCTTATCTGACATGTCATTACCAAATACTTTTTCGCAGTCTGTGGTTTCCCTTTTTACCCTGTTGAAGAATTTTTGACTGTGTCATTGAAACAAATTGAGTTGTAGTGTTCAGGGATTGTGAGGATGGATAAAACAGGGTTCAGGTCTGTTGTTCATAGGGTGCTACAGACTATTTCAGTCCTTCCCCAGACACCGGAAAACCATCCATTCCTGAGTCAGTCACAATCCATATTCTATACCTTAAAGAATAGAGGCCATATTATTAAAATTTTCTCTCTTCCCAATTACAAAATATCCTGTTTCTAACTTTGATGTTCTCCAGGGCTTTTGTTTATGTAGTTGAGCTCTTGTGTTTAAGTGATTAAATGCAAAATGAACAGTCTTCAATGTAAATTCAACAGCTGACCCATGGGAAAATGATGTGGTAGGGTTTGTTTTTTTTTTTTGTGAAGGGTTCTACTCTGTCCTACAGAGTCACACTGTAGTTGCTGTTAGGTGCTGTCAAGTCAACTATGACTCAAATAAACTTGATGGACAATAGACTTGTCCTCATCATTTCTTTTATATTGGAATCCATTGTGTCAGTCACTGTATCAAACCACTTGTTTGAGGGTCTTCCTTTCTCTATTGTTCCACCTTTCTTAGCATGTCTTACTTGAAGGACTGACCTCTAATGTATCAAAACTGAGCCGACTGGCAGCATCATGATAGATGGTGAAGAGATTGAGATTGTTGACAGCTTTAGTTTGCTTGGCTGTACAATGAACACTTGGTAACATCAGCCAGGAAATGAAAAGATGAATTGCACTGGAAAAGTCTGATGTCAGAGACCTCTGCAAAGAACTGAAGAGCAACTGAAGGTCAGTCCAGAGACTAAGGTGTGCCTGATATAGGCCAAGGTCTTTGCCATTACCTGCTATGCTTCAGAGAGCTGGTTAATGATTAGGGATGATAGAAGGAGGGTTGATGCCTTAGAGCTGTGGTGCTGGAGAAGAGAATTGAACATACCATGCACTGCTAGAAAATAAACAGGTTCAACCTAGAGAAGGTGAAGTCAGGATGCTCCTTGGAAGTAAAGATTCTAAAGCTTCCTTTGACATACTTTCGACCTGTTGTAAGGAGGGACCAGTCCTTGGAGAGGGTTTAGGGCAGTTATTCAAATGGTTCACCTTCTTCTGCCCTTCTCCTCTTTCTGCTGCGTTTTTCAACAGTTACTTAGTTCCTGTCTTTGGGGCAATATTTCCCTGCAGGCTCCTCTTTTGTCCCGATCTTGTACAGTGTTAATTTATTTTACATTCCATTTCTGTTCTCCCAATCTCCCCCACTCCCCTGTTATACTTCTATTTTTACAGTAATGGTCATATATGGAGTTATTTAAACAAATTTGTGTTATGTCATGGAATCACAAGAACGGAACCAGAGAGAAAACAAGCAAGCAAGCATAAATTCCTTGGTATAGAGACAGAGATCAGGGAATCTGAGCTCCAAGGTGCATTGGGACAGGTTTTTGGTTTTTTTAAATTAAATTTTATTAGTTTTAATGAACATTTACAGAGATTTTGGGTTTTCATTCATTCATTGTTGCACTGTTTTCTCCACCTTCATCCCCAGTTTGTTCTTCTTTCCCCCCCCATGTCTGTTTTAATTGTCCAGTTGCCACAGTGCTTGTCAAAGCCAGTTCTGATTACTCTCCTTTGTCAGTGTGTCCCTTGCC